ACTTAAACAGTTGCAACTCAATGCTAATGGCAAGCGTCTATTCTAGTATAAAAATGATTATCGAGATGCAGGGTAGTGGTTAGGGTGTTGGCTCCGCAGCCAGGCTGCCTATGTTTGAATCCTGTCACTAGCTGTACTCCGTGCTTTACCCCCAAGCCAATGTTTGTAAAATGTAGGTCATCACAGTACATACTTCAGATAGTAATTATGAGGATTAAATTATTTTAAACATATAAAATGGTTAGCGCAGGGCCTGGACCATGACAAGTTCTTGATTAAATATTACTAGATGGATTACTTGATTAAGTGATTACTGAGGGTTCTTTTTTTCCTCTCATTTTTAAATTCGATGATTTTTATGTCTGATCCTCTCTCCAAGCTCTTCCTGTGGCCTCCAAGGACACTAGCCTCTCTCTGGCCTTGTGGGTTCGCTTGCTGTGGCCAATGGCTATGCCGGCTCCAGGAAGCTCTCGGATAGTCAGAGACCATATGTCTACCTGGTCCCTTCTGGTTACCTCCTTTTAAATTTTACTCCAGCCATCTTTCAACTGGTCAACAGGAGCACCATTTGATCTCACCAAATCACAACATCTCATAGACGGCATCTTCATACATGTGATTGAGGAGGTCGACAGGAAACAGAAACACTTTTCTTCATAGGGCACAAAGAAATGTGCTTGGGCCAGAAAGAAAGAAGCTTTGTGAAAGAAGGAATGTCAATACGGATGGAAATAGCACAGCATCTGCTTCTTCAGGCCAGTTATGCTGTAGTTTCCTTTTCCCCCCAGTCAGCCATTTTGTGCCGTGGTTCCCTGCCCTTTTCCCATGCATGCCCACCGGTAACACTGGAGTCTCTAGTGTAGGCAGGTGTGGGAAATACAAATCCTGTCTCCTTTGGGGCCAGTCCTGGAGGCAGGCTGCGTTATGGTTTAAAAAAAACCCCACTTTGGGGCGCCTGGGTGGCTCAATGGGTTAAGCCTCTGCCTTCGGCTCAGATCATGATCTCGGGGTTCTGGGATCGAGCCCCGCGTCTTAGGGCTCTCTGCTCAGCAGGGAGCCTGCTTCTCCCACCCCTCCTCTCTGCCTGCCTCTGTGCCTACCTGTGGTCCCTGTCTGTCAAATAAAATCTTTAAAAAAAAAAATCCTCCTCTTCCATTCAGATAGGCTCTAGAGGAGTATGTGACCTCCTCCCTACAAAGCTAATGATGTAAGAATAACACAGGTAGTAAACAAATCACGATTACATTAAGCTGAAGCTGACTTTGTTACTATTTGGAGGTTGCAGTAGTTGTATAAGGAGAAATGGCACTGAACACAGCTGAGCCCTTCACGAAGCTGGGATTTCCCAGGTGGAGGGGAGTGGGTTTCTAGGCATCTGGAAGAAGCAGGGAGTGAAGGCAGGAGGCGTGCCGTACACGAGGAAGTGATGAGGTCACATTGTGGAGGCAGGACGCTTTAGTGGCAATGTGTTAGGCAGCAGAGAATCAAAGAAGGCTTTGAACAAAGGATTGATACGTCAGCAGTATTCATTTCCAACTGAAGGGGAGAGGCCTGGGGCAAGTGGACTGGAAGGAGGGATGTTGAAGTCAGGCTTGGACTAAAGTGCCGCTCACCACAATGGCACTGCCTGAGCCTTATCTAAGGGACTTGATCCGGCTGAGCCTGTTTTCTTATCTGTAAAATGACATGCCAGAGGTTTCTGGGAGAATTGATAATTTACCAAGTATTTTCCTGGGTTCCTAGAATGTGCCAGGCACTTTGCTAGGTGTCAGAGATACAAAAAGGGACAAGAAAAGATACAGTCTCTATCTTCCGGGAACTTACCTCTCAGTATGGGAGACTGATAATTAAAAAAAAAAAAAAGTCAACAGATTAAAAACTGCAAAGTCTGGTAAGGTGATACTGTGAAGAAGAGAGGCAGGAAGGACATCTACTTTGAAGTTCAAGGGGCCAGGAAAAGTCTCTCTGAGGAAATGGAATTTATGGAGACCAGACCTGCGAAGGAGGCCTCAGGCAAAGAGCAAAGGGAAGAATGTTCCAGAGAGAGGAGTAATATGTGCAGAGGCAGGAAAAGTTTGGTGTGTTTCCAGGAGATGCAAAGAACCCTAGAGCACAAGGGGTGAGGTGGGGGAGGTAGAGAGAAGGGTGGTGGCTGGGTCATGGCAGGAACATGGATTCTATTCTGAGAGAGAGGGTAAGGGGGAAGGATAACTATATGTGCATTATAAAACTATAAACAGAATTGGGGGGGGGAGAGTAGGGAGGGGATATTATCCAGGAGGCTCTCTACGGCAACAGTCGGGCGACAGATGGTACTGTCTTACGTTACAGTGGGGGCAGTGGAGCTGAAGGGAAGTAGATGGCTTCAAGAAATATATACATATACACATATATTTTTTAGATTTTATTCATTTTATTTTATTTATTATTATTATTTATTTTATTCATTTATTCGACAGACAGAGATCACAAATAGGCAGAGAAGCAGGCAGAGAGACGGGGTGGGGGGCAGGGAGCAGGCTCCCCGCTAAGCAGAGAGCCCGATGCCGGGCTCAATCCCAGGACAGCTGAGATCACAACCTGAGCCGAAGGCAGAGGCTCAACCCACTGAGCCACGCAGGTGCCCCTCAAGAAAAATTTTAAAGGTAGAATCAAAGATCTTGTACATGGGGGGAAAAGGGGAAGAAAATACTCTTGGGTTTCTGGCTTGAGTGACTAGGTAGAAAATAATATTTGCTGATGGATAAGACCAGAGGATGCAGAATTCTGAGGCCAGGCATAAGAAAACACATAAAACATCTTGTTTGGTGCCTCACACACATAAGAAGACACTCAATAAATAGAAATTACTATTATTATCTGGTCATTCTGTATTGTAGAACAATGGCTTCCAGGAAACAGCTGGGAACAGAAACTCCTCTGTCCTTAAACGTAATGTGTAGGCATGAAACAGAACAAGGTTTGAGACAAATGGATGATAGCAGGTCTTTATGAAATAAGTTACAGCCAAATCTTAAGATGTCAAGATGCATGTCATCTTCAACAAAGGAGGAAAGAATTGCATCAATGGGAAAAAGTCTCTTCAATAAGTGGTGTTGGGAAAAGTTGACAGCCACATGCAAAAGAATGAAACTGAGTCACTTTCTTACACAATCACAAAAATAAACTCAAAATGCATTAAAGACCTAAACGTGAGACCCGAAACCATAAAAACCCTAGAAGAGAACACAGGCAGTAATTTCTCTGACATCAGCTATAACATTTTTCAAGATATGTCTCGTGAAGCAAGGGAAATAAAAGCAAAAATAAACTATTGGGACTTCATCAAAATAAAAAACTTCTGCACAGCAAAGAAAGCAATCAATGAATCTAAAAGGCAACCTCAGAATGGAAGCAGGTATTTGGAAATGACATATCTGACAAAGGGTTAGTATCCAAAATATATAAAGAACTGATACAGCTCAACACCCAAAAAACAAATAATTCAATTAAAAATGGGCAGGAGACACGAACAGACATTTCTCCAAAGACATACAGATAGCAAACAGATACGTGAAAAGATGCTTAACACCACACATCATCAGGGGAATGCAAATCAAAACCACAATGAGATCTCACCTCACACCTGTCAGAATAGCTAAAATAAAAAACACAAGAAATGACAAGTGTTGGGGAGGATGTGGAGGAAAAGGAACCCTCGTATACTGTTGGTGGGAACGCAAACTGGTGCAGCTACCGCGGGAAACAGTATGGAGGTTCCTCAAAAAAGTTAAAAGTAGTATGAGCCCAATAAAGAAGATCTCTCTCTCTCTCTCTCTCTCTCTCTCTCTCTCTCTCACACACACACACACACACACACACACACAGAATGGAATACTATGCAGCCATCAAAAGAAATGAAATCTTGCCATTTGCAACAACGTGGATGGAACTAGAGGGTATTATGCTGAGCGAAATAAGTCAATCAGAGAAAGACAATTATCATATGATCTCCCTGATACGAGGAATTTGAGAGGCAGGGCCGGGGGTTGTGGGGGCTAGGGAAAGGAAAAAAAAATCAAACAAGATGGGATTAGGAGGGAGACAAACCATAAGACTCTTAATCTCACAAAACAAACTAAGGGTTGCCGGGGGATGGGGAGTTATGGAGAGGGGGGTGGGTTATGGCATTGGGGAGGGTATGTGCTATGATGAGTGCTGTGGAATGTGTAAGCCCGATGATTCACAGACCTATACCCCTGGGGCAAATAATACATTAAAAGTTAATAAAAATAATTTAAAAAATAGTATGAGCCCAATAATTACACTACTGGATATTTACCCAAAGAATACAAAAACACTAATTCAAAAGGATACATGCACCCAAATGTTTACACCAGCATTCTTTACAATAGTCAAATTATGGAAATAGTCCAAGTATCCATCAATTGATGAATGGATAAGGAAGATGTGGCACACACACTAACAATGGAATATTACTTGACTATAAAAAATGATCTCCTGCCATTTGCAACAACATGGATGGAGCTAGAGAGTATAATGCTAAGCAAAGTCAGAGAAAGACAAATACCATGTAATTCCACTCCTGTGTGGAATTTAAGAAACAAACAAATGAATGAAGATAAAAAAAGAGAGCGACAAACCAAAAAACGGACTCTTAACTCTAGAGAACAAACTGATGGTTACTGGAGGGGAGAAAGGTGGAGGTGGGGGATGGATGAACTGGGACGGAGATTAAGGAGAGCCCTTGCGATGAGCACTGGGCATCATAGGGAAGTACCAAATCGCTATACTGTACACCTGAAACTAATATAACACTGTGTGTTAACTACACCAGGATTAAAATAAAAAACTTAATTAAAGCTATGATGCAGAGAAGGAATTATCTGCAATAGAGCCAACTGAAGAAACTCCGGTTTATCAGTCACCATCTGATAAGGTCTTACTGCTTCTCTGAAGTCACAGTAATGAAAACATGTAAACCACCAGAATGCTTCGCACATTTAAAGCTTTTATTTTGAAAAATAAAATACAAAAGTCATTAAGTTGTAAATGTATACAGTAATTCCTCAACTTCTCAAAAACAATACAATGATTTAAATAATTAAGATATTTAATATTATCCACATCAATACATTTAAACAGGAAGTGTTCTACAAAACATTAGAACATGTACAGATAACCTATTCCAAGATGAAACTGCCCAATTTTGCTTAGAGAATTCCATTTAAAACCCTCCCCTTAAAACAAAAGTTTGGAATCTGTCCAGAAAAGATGAGGACCAGAGCAGTGTTAACAGAAAGCACGCGCTCCCTCTGGGCTTCCTATGCAGCGGCTGTGCACGTCATGGGGGTCAAGAGTGCTGCACCGGGAAGCAGATCACTCGGGAAGGCCCAGGTGTGCATAGGCAGCGCACGCGCTCAGTGGAAGGAGGCTGGCAAGTGAGCGGGAGATGCAGGCCGCGCTCTGCTCATCTCAACGGGGGACAACCAGTCCTAGAAATCTCCCTCCTGTTGAAAGGCGGAAGTCTTCCCTGGGGCAGACAAACAGAATCCGGTTACAAGTGCGGAGACACGCTTTGTTCTCCCCTGCACCATGCTGCCTCCTTCCCAGCTGTGGTCCTGGCATAAGCCAGGTAGACAGGGAGGAGGACAGATGGTTCCGAGAGCAGCTGCCTCTGAAGCACTATCCTCCCGGAGATGCTCTGTTGCCTTCCTTGCTTCTTCCGAGTCCTTCTCTCACTGCAGGTGGCCCCTACCGGCCGCAACAAGCATATGGGGGTGCAGTGATGCTGTTGAGGCAACTCAAAGGCCGAGTCCATGGACACTTGTTCTGTCTTGTAAAGCATTCAATACGTGGGTCCCTGTGTGTGCATCTCATGGACGGAAGTGATCTATAAGAGGTGTGGTTACTGCTGTTACATACATCTACAGAGCGTGGGTCTAGCACCTAGCATTTCCTCCTTAGCAAAAAGGTAGTCATAAATCTTGAAACCTATTCATATTATTAGCTCAAAGTCTTCCATGATTTTGACATGGCATAGCAGTGTTCATGTGCTTTTTCATTCTATTATCCATTAACCTAGCAAGTCATAAAAATCTGACTCAAATCATTCAGTCTTCATTTTCTCATCAGTACAACAGGGATAATACCACCTACTTGCCAGAGTGGTTTGAACCTTGAAAGAATTCACTCATATATGTACATATATGAATATAATATTATATATTACATAGTGTGTCATATAATACATATGTCATTTTTAAAAAAGATTTTATTTATTTATTTGACACAGAGACATAGCAAGAGAGGGAACACAAGCAGGGGGAGCAGGAGAGGGAGATGCAGACCTCCCATAGAGCAGGGAGCCCGATGTGGGGCTCAATTCCAGGACCCCGAAATTATGACCTGAGCCGAAGGCAGACACTTAACGACTGAGCCACCCAGGCACCCCTGTATATGGCATTTATATATTACATATATAAAATGCTTGATATTCTATGCCTTGAATAGAGTATGCAGTCAATACATTGTTATTATATAAAATAAAACAGCAAGCAAAACTATAAGAAAAAAATCAGTTTTTTAAAAAAGTTTTTCAAGTTCCAAATGATCTAAGGCATTACCACATCATTCAGAACAAAACAGAATCTTAAGGAATTGCGGGAAAGGGGCATGAGCTCTGAGAAGCTACGTTAGGAGGTCTGGGTTCAGAAACCAGCTTTTCCACTAATTGGCTGGTGTCCCTGGACATGTACCTGATGATACTCAGATATAAAGGGGACTGATAGGCATGGCTGGCCTAGCCCAACTGTAGCCCCCACCTACAAGAGACAATGTAGGTTACCAACATAAGATCTCATCGTACATTAAAACCAGCAAGCACAGACTTGACCAATTTCCAAAAATACTTTTGTAAAAACACTTCCACATCCAGCATGCACAGAAGCAGCACAGGGTGGTGGAAGAAGCTTTCACCTTCCCGTGATGTCACTCTGACAAATAACCTGCTCAGTTTCCTTATCTGCAAACAGGTTACTGGGATTAATGGTCTCCAGATTTCTTTCAGCTAACATATCTTAGTATCTTATACTCCTCCTCATATTAAAAATAAAAACTAACACTGTTTGAATGCTTACTAGGTGCCAAGCTTTTTGTAGACATTATTATGCTCAATTCTTACTACTACTCTCTTACTAATCTTGTCCTTGTTTTGCAGATGAGGAAGCTAAGACACAGAGAAGGCATTTGCTCAATGCCACAGAGCCCAGATTCCAACTCAGGCCAAAGGACTCCAGAGCTGTGTTCTCCACTCCAGCCATACTGCCTCCTAAGAGAGCTTAAGCAGGGAAACCCAAAGGCCAAAGAATGTCCCCCAACTCTCACCTCATGTATGGAAGAGGTTCCGGCTCTGCTACTCCACTTCCTCAGTCTGTCAAAGGAAGCAAAAGATATTTTAAAAGACCTTGAAGTTGGTCAGGATGAAAAGTGACTATTCCTGTGGAAATATCAGGGGTAGCTTGTTGGCTCTGATCACAGATTTTCCAATGAACTCAGTCTGCTACAACTATAGAATAAAGAACGTGACTGGCCTGTCTCTAGTTCCTGGTAGGGAGACTCTAAATTCTTGGATTTCCCGGGTAAAGGGAATGTCTTCATTATTCAGGAGCTGCTTGGATCATACCTGAGTTTAAGCTACGAGATGAGATAACTCAGGATGGAAGCTGGTCACACAAAAATCACGCCTGTGATTAGAGACTTGGGACTCTGAGCCAGCCCAGCCTCAGGGGAGCGGATGACCGGGATTGACTTCAACTACATGGTCAATGATTCAATCAATCACGTCTATGTAATTAGATCCCAATAAAAACTATGGATGCTGCAGTTCAGTGAATGCACAGATGTGCTGCTGAGGGGGAGAAGTACCCCGATTTGTGGGGAATGGGCACAGCTCTGTGTCTGAGACCCTTGTAGCCCTGTCTCCTCATTTGGCTGATCCTGATTTGTGTCCTTTATAAAACTGTAAGTACAGCACTTCGCTGAGTTCTGTGAGCCACTTTAGCTATACCAAACCTGAGGGTTCTGTGATGTTTCAATTTTCTCATTTATTATAAGTTAAATAAAAGTCTTTTACAGCCTTTTTCTAAGTATTTGTGTGTGGGATGCCTTAAACTAACCACAGTAAGGGGCTTAAAGTTCCTAGTAAGGCTTTTGAGCAATTTTTTTCCCGACCGATTTGTAGGAATCCTCTATAGTCTACAAATGAATCCTTTGTTTCAAATTATTTTATCCCACTTAAGGTATACTTTTATACTCTTTATGATGCTTTCTAATAAGTAAATATTATCAATTTTAATGGAGCCAAATTATCCATTTTAAAATTAATAATTAGTGTTTTTTATGATCTAAGAAATCCTTCCCTCTTAAGTTCACGAAGATATTCTCCTTTGTGGTCTCCTAAAAACTTTATTATTTTGCCTTTAACGTTTAGGTTTATAATTGGCCTGGATATGATTTTTGTGTATGCTGCGAAGCAGAGGTATCCCTTTAATTTTAGACTCAAATTTCCTTTCTTGATTCCTTCAAACTTATTATGCAAAACAGTCTTTGGATTTGACATTCCTTCAAGACTTGCCTCTTGGGTTATTCTCTGGCTCCAACTGCCACACCCTACAAGTGACTGATGGCTTGTTCATGACCCCATCCAGGTTTTGGGGGCATCACGCCTAGCCCAGGCTCCGGGCCCAGGGCCCCCTTGTCTGTAAAAATTGATCAGTCTTCAAGGGAGATCAGAAGTTCCTTAAAAAGACCTTTTTTCTCTCTGACTCTTGAGGACTCATTCCAACTTCTCACCCACGATAGAAATTGAGTAAACATTTGCTGAATAAATAAAATGAATGAATGGGAGGATTAAAACTGAACATAACGCTAATAAGAATATGCCTTGGAAGTAGTATGAAATTCTCAAGTAATACTAATATCAACCACTAATGGCTGACTGTTATTGGACAAGGATCTGAGAAGACAGAGCCTTCAACCCTGGAATGAGATGCAGCTTCTCCTACAGGGCCCAGCCCACTCAGTCCAGGCTCGCTTCAGGCAACACGACTTCACAGAGTCTGTGAGGAGGTATGCCTCCCTCACCAATCCTTATCTGGAATGATTTTAGAAACCAAGTTCAGTGCTGAGTCTTCATTTCCTATTTACAAGCCAATTACTGATAGCAACAGCCTAGTGGCAACATGTATTATCACTAGGCTAGAAAGGGAAGTTGTCTGCTGGGCTCCAGGAGTTAATAATTTTCCCCACTACTATATGGAAATGGCCGATGATGCTCAAATGCAAGACATTCTGGGCTACTTCAGCACACAGTGTTGGCCTAACACTGCCTGTTTCTCTTCAACTCAAGAGACAATACTGAAACCAAAGTAAGTGAAGGTGTGACATTACAAGGATAACTCTAGATCTGTTTTAACTAGTCTCTTAAACAGTAAACATTACAATTTTCAAACTTTCACTGTCCTTTCCCAACTTGGGGGCTTTGCAGTGGAGGGAGAAAGGCTATGAATATAATGTATTTACAAGTCTCCTAGCCTCCCAATAAGACAAGTTAAAAGGCCATGGATGTATATATGATAAGAACAACAGATGGCTGTACAGTTTTATTTCAAGTTACATATCCGAAGGCTGGAGCAGATTCACCAAGGCAGGCTTCTGGTTCTTTTTCTCTTCTTCTCCATTTATGGTTTAATGTTTTGTATTGCTCTCTCCTTTTTTTAAAAGTAAGTATTTCTTCTTTATTTTTAAAAATTAACATATAATGTATTATTTGTTTCAGGGGTACAGGTCTGTGATTCATCAGTCTTACACAATTCACAAGGCTCACTGCAGCACATTCCCTCCCCAATGTCCATCACCCAGCCTCCCCAACCCTTCCACCCCCCTCCACTCCAGCAACCCTCAGTTTGTTTCCTGAGATTAAGAGTCTCTTATGGTTTGTCTCCTCCCTGGTTTCGTCCCATTTCATTTTTTTTCCCTTTCTTTCCCCATGATCCTCTGCCTTGTTTCTCAAATTCCACATATCAAGCAAAATCATATGATAATTGTCTTTCTCTGATTGACTTATTTCACTTAGCATAATACCCTCTAGTTCCATCTACTTCATTGCAAAGCAAGATTTCATTTTTTGATGGCTGCATAATATCCCATGGTGTATATATACCACATCATCTTTATCCATTCATCTGCCAATGGACATCTAGGCTCTTTCCATAGTTTGGCTAGTGTGGACATTGCTGCTATAAACACTGGGGTGCGTGTGCCCCTTAGGGTCACTAATTTGTATTTTTGGGGGTAAATACCCAATAGTGCAATTGCTGGGTCACAGAGTGGTTCTATTTTCAACATTTTGAGGAACCTCCCTACTGTTGTCCAGAGTGACTGCACCAGCTTGCATTCCAAACCAACAGTGTAGGAGGGTTCCCCTTTCTCCGCATCCTTGCCAACATCTGTCATTTTCTGACTTGTTAATTTCAGCCATTCTGACTGCTGTGAGGTGGTATCTCACTGAGTTTTGATTTGTATTTCCCTGATGCCAAGTGATGTGGAGCACTTTTTCATGTGTCTGTTGGCCATTTGGATGTCTTCTCTGCAGAAATGTCTGTTAGTATCTTCTGCCCATTTCTTAGATTATTTGATTATTTGAATTTGGTAAGTTCTTTATAGATTTTGGATACTAGCCCTTTATCTGATATGTCATTTGCAAATATCTTCTCCCATTCTGTTGGCTGTCTTTTGGTTCTGTCAACTGTTCTCTTTGCTGTGCAAAAGCTTTTTATCTTGATGAAGTACCAATATTTCATTTTCCCCTTGATTCCCTTGCCTTTGGCAATGTTTCTAGGAAGAATTTGCTGTGATAGGTTGAAGAGGTTGCTGCTTGTGTTCTCCTCAAGAATTCTGATGGATTCCGGTCTCACATTGAAGACTTTCATCCATTTTGAGTCTATTTTTGTGTGTGGTATAAGAAATGGTCCAGTTTCAGTCTTCTGCATGTGGCTGTCCAATATTCCCAACATCATTTGGTAAAGAAACCTTTATTCCATTGAACATTCTTTCCTGCTTTGTTGAAGATTAGTTGACCACAGAGTTGAGGGTCCATTTCTGGGCTCTTTATTCTGTTCCATTGATCTATGCATCTATTTTTGTGTCTATACCATACTATCTTGACGATTACAGCTTTGTAATATAGCTTGAAGTCCGGAATTGTGATGTTGGCAGCTTTCCTTTTCTTTTTCAATCTTCTTCTGGCTATTTGGGGTCTTTTCTGGTTCCATACAAATTTTAGGATTGTTTGTTTCATTTATGTGAACAAATCAAAAGTATTTTGATAGGGATTGCATTAATATGTAGGTTGCTATCAGCAGTATAGACATTTTAACAATATTTGTTCTTCCAAACCATGAGCATGGAACGTTTTTCCATTTCTTTGTGCCTTCCTCAATTTCTTTCATGAGTATTCTATAGTTTTCTGAGTACAGATCCTTTGTCTCTTTTGTTAGATTTATTCTTAGGTATCTTATGGTTTTGGGTGCAACTGTAAATGGGATTGACTCCTTAGTTTCTCTCTCTCCTGTAGCATTGTTGGTGTATAGAAATGCAACTGATTTCTGTGCATTGATTTTATATCCTGACACTTTACTGAATTCCTGTATGAGTTCTAGCAGTTTTGAGGTGGAGTCTTTTGGGTTTTCCACTTAAAGTATCATATCATCTGCAAAGAGTGAGAGTTTGACTTCTTATTTGCCAATTCAGATGCCTTTAATTTATTTTTGTCATCTGATTGCTGAGGCTAGGTCTTCTAGCACAATATTGAATAGCAGTGGTGATAGTGGACATTCCTTTGGTCTTCCTGACCTTAGGGGAAAGCTCTCAGTTTTTTCCTACTGAGAATGATATTCGCTGTGGCTTTTTCATAGATGACTTTGATGATATTGAGGTTTATGTACCCTCTATCCCTACACTGTGAAGAGTTTTGATCAAGAAAGGATGGTGTACTCTGTCAAATGCCTATTCAGCATCTATTGAGAGTATCATATGGTTCTTGTTCTTTTTTTTATTAATGTAGTGTATGACACTGATTGATTTGCAGATGCTGAACCAACCTTGCAGCTCAGGAATAAATTCCACTTGGTTGTAGTGAATAATTTTATTAATATGCTGTTGGATCCTATTAGCTAGTATTTTGGTGACAATTTTTGCATCCATGTTTATCAGGGGTATTGGTCTGTAATTCTCCTTTTTGATGGAGTCTTTGTCCGGTTTTGGGATCAAGATAATACTGGCCTCAAAATGAGTTTGGAAGTGTTCCTTCTCAGGAATAGGTATAATTCTTCTTTAAATGTTTGGTATAATTCCCTGGGAAGCCATCTGGCCCTGGGCTCTTGTCTCTTGGGAGATTTTTGATGACTGTTTCAGTCTCCTTACTGGTTATGGGTCTTTTCTTCCTGGTTCAGTTTTGGTCATTTATATGTCTCTAGGAATGCATACAATTCTTCCAGATTGTCAAATTTGCTGGTGTATACTTGCTCATAATATGTTCTCATAATTGTTTGCATTTCTTGGTGTTGGTTGTGATCTCTCCTCTTTCATTCATGATTTTATTAAATTGGGTCCTTTCTCTTTTCTTTTTGATAAGTCTGGCCAGCGGTTTATCAATCTTATTAATCCTTTCAAAGAACCAGCTCCTAGTTTTGTTAATCTGTTCTACTGTTCTTTTGGTTCCTATTTCATTGATTTCTACTCTGATCTTTATTATTTCTCTTCCCCTGCTGGGTTTCAGCTCTCTTTGCTATGCTTTCTCCAGCTCCTTTAGGTGTAGGGTTAGGTTGTGTACTTGAGACCTTTCTTGTTTCTTGAGAAAGGCTTGTATTGCTATATCCTTTCCTCTCAGGACCGCCTTTGCTGCATCCCAAAGACTTTGAACAGTTGTGCTTTCCTTTTCTTTTGTTTCCATGAATTTTTAAAATTCTTTAATTTCCTGGTTGAGCCATTCATTCTTTAGTAGGATGCTTTTTAACCTCCACGTATTTGAGTTCTTTCCAACTTTCCTTTTGTGATTGAATTCTAGTTTTGAAGCACTGTGGTCTGAAAATATGCAGGGAATGATCCCCATTTTGTGGTACCAGTTGAGAGCTGATTTGTGACCCAGGATGTGATCTATTCTGGAGAATGTTCCATGTGCACTAGAGAAGAATGTGTTTTCTGTTGCTTTGGGATGGAATATTCTGAATGTATCTGTGAAGTCCATGTGGTCCAGTGTGTCATTCAAAGCCCTTATTTCCTTGTTAATCTTTTGCTTAGATGATCTGTCCATTTCAGTGAGGGGGGGTGTTAAAGTGCCTACTATTATTGTATTATTATTGATGTGTTTCTTTGTGTTAATTGGCTTATATAATTGGCTGCTCCCATGTTAGGTGCATAAATATTTACAACTGTTAGATCTTCTTGTTGGATAGAACCTTTAAGTATGATATAGTGTCCTTCCTCGTCTCTTATTACAGTGTTTGGTTTAAAATCTAATTTGATTGCCACCCCAGCTTTCTTTTTATGTCCATTACTATGACAAATGGTTTTCTACCCCCTCATTTTGAATCTGGAGGTGTCTTTGGATCTAAAATGAGCCTTTTGCAGACAGTGTAATGGTGGGTCTTGCTCTTTTATCCAATCTGATATCCTGTGTCTTGGGGAATTTAGCCCATTTACATTCAAAGTAACTATTGAAAGATATGAATTTAGTACCCTGTATTGCCTGTAAGGTGACTGTTAAGATATACTGTCTCTGTTCCTTCCTGGTCTATGTTACTTTTGGGCTTTCTCTTTGCATAGAGGACCACTTTCAATATTTCTTGTGGGGCTGGTTTGGTGATCACAAACTCTTTTAGTTTCTGTTTGTCCTGGAAGCTTTTTATCTCTCCTTCTATTTTCAATGACCGCCTGGCTGGATATAGTAGTTTTAGCTACATGTTCTTCTCATTTACTACCCTGAATATATCATGCCAGTCCTTTCTGGCCTGCCAGGTCTTTATGGATAGGTCTGCTGCCAATCTAATGTTTCTCCTCTTGTAGGTTTCAAACCCCTTGTCCCAAACTGCTTTCAGGATTTTCTCTGTCTCTGAGATTTGTAAGTTGCACTAATATATGTTGGGGTATTGACCTATTTTTATTCATTTTGAAGGGATTCTCTGTGCCTCTTGGATTTTGATGGCTGTTTCCTTCCCCAAATTAGGGAGGTTCTTTGCTATAATTTGCTCTAATATATCTTCTGCCCCCTCTCTTCTTCCCAATTCTAATATTGTTTCACTTTATGGTATCACTTATCTCTCTAATCTCACTTATCTCTCTATTCTCTCCTTGTGATCCAATAGTTGTTTATCTCTCTTTTTCTCAGCTTCTTTATTCTCCATCATTTGGTCTTCTAGATCATAATTCTCTTTTCTGCCTCATTTATCCTAGCAGTTGGAGCCTCCATTTTTTATTGCACCTCATTAATAGCCTTTTTTATTTCGACTTGGTTAGTTTTATTTATCCAGGAAGGGATTCTCTAGTATCTTCTATGCTTTTTTCAAGCCGAACTAGTATCTTTATAATTGTTATTCTGAACTCTAGTTCCGACATCTTATTAATGTCCATGTTGATTAGTTCCTTGGCAGTCGATACTGTTTTTTTTCCCCCTGAGGTGAGTTTTTCCTTTTTGTCATTTTGTCCAGAGAATAACAGATGAACAAGAGAACAAAATGCTACAAGGGTAACAGTGACCTAGAAAAATATACACTAAGCAAATCAGAAGAGATCTGGAACCAGGGGGTTAAAAAAAAAAAAAAAAAAAAGAATATGATCTGGCTGGTCAATAGGACAGAGCCACCCATTAGCTTTTGAATTATTTTGGTCTGTTAGAAGAAACTGCCTCCCAAAATTTTAAATAAAGGAAAACTTAGATATATAGAAAAATAAGGGTAAATACAATGAAGGGATGGAATAGGACTGTAAAAATGAAAATTAGAAAAGATTTTAAAAAAGGAATTGGTAAGAAGTTGATTGAAAAAAGAAAGAAGAAAGATTTAAAAAAAGGGGGGAGAATATGATCAGTCAGATTAACAGAACAAAACCATACACTAGATTTAGGGTATATTTTGGTCTGTTAGAAGAATCTGCATCCTAAAATTTTAAAGAAAGAAAAACTTATATATATATAATACACACACACACACACACACAAAAGTTAAATACAATGAAGGGACAGATTATGACTTCCAGAAAGTGGTCATTTTTCTGTTCATAGAGTTGTTGCTATTCTTTTCTTAAATCTCCTGTTGAGTTCGTAGGTGTTCAGAATGGCTTGATAACTCTCTAGCTGAATTCTTGGGACCAGATGAAATTTAGGTCTCCTATTCCTCCTCCATCTTGGAGCCTGCTTACCAGGCTTCTTATATGTGGAATACTGTATGGTTTATAAGTCACCTCCAGCAATCAGATTTTAGTCATCAATAAAGTAGTTCCCTAATTCTGGAAGACACTGACACTGAGCTCTCTCAAATTAAGGCTGTGTTAAAGTACTGTTAAAACCAACAGTTACCAGAGGCCAATTTTTACCACCAGCACAGCACTCTTTAAAAAGATCCCTCTGACACAAGAGCCCATCTATCACATTAAGAACAGAAGCAGATACAGTACCTGAGGTTTTTCTTTAAGAAATTCAGGGAGCTGAAATTCTCCTTTATAGACCTGGAAAAAAAAAAAAAGCCAACTGTGAATTTAAGGAAACAGTGTCATCATCACTTCATGATACTTGCAATGCCTGATGGTGGATGGATTTACTGCTTCATTCTTAGTGAGTTTTAGAATGGGAGGGAAACCTGTTAGTTTAAAAACAGTTAGCATTGAAGGACTGAGTGAAATTCCCATTCACTCTGGTCTCAACTGTTGTACATTTGCCTGTGTGCTCCCAAATGTGGGTTGGCTGGGAGAGGCCTCAGAGTATCTGAAGTAGAAAAAAGCATCCTAACATTCCAAGCCCCAATCATTTTAGCTGAGCGAGAAAGCAAGCCCTGGGCCATCTCTCTCAAGCAACCAACAGAGAATTCACACAATTCAGGAACAGACTCCTCCTGATATCCTTTTGAAATCTTCACCATTACAAATCTTAGATTTATTCCAAATTTACTTTTCTTTCTGGCTTTTTTCTTTCTTTCTTTCTTTCTTTTTTTTGTTAAAGATTTTATTTATCTGAAAGAGAGAGAGAGAGAAAAATAGTGATAGTGATAGCAAGAGAAAGCACGAGCAGAGAGAAGTGGGAGAAGCAGTTTCCCTGCTGAGCAGGGAGCCTGATGCAGGGCTTGATCCCAGGACCCTGGGATCATGACCTGAGCCAAAGTCTTACCTAACTCACCCACCTAGGTGCCCCCTGCCAATTTACTTTTCTTAATGTCCTCTATATTCTCATAATAATTTGAATATTAGATATGAAATGATATATAAAGTTATATACTTTTAACCTCATAAAATCTTATAATTAAAAACTTACCCTTTAAAAAAAAATTTTATTTATTTGAGGAGCACCTGGGTGGCTCAGTCATTAAGTGTCTGCCTTCGACTGAGGTCATGATCCCAGGGTCCTGGGATCGAGTCCCACATCCGGGGTCCCTGCTCAGAGGGAAACCTGCTTCTCCCTCTCCCACTCCCCCTGCTTCTGTTCCCTCTCTCCCTGTGTGTCTGTCAAATAAATAAATAAATAAATCTTTAAAAAAAATTTTTATTTATTTGAGAGAGAGAGCTTGAAAGGGGAAAAGGTCAGAGGGAGAAGCAGACTCCCCATAGAGCTGGGAGCCTGATGTGGAACTTGATACAGGGACTGTGGGATCATGACCTGAGCTGAAGGCAGTTGTTTAACCAACTGAGCCACCCAGGTGCCCTACCCTTTTTAGTATATAAAATTAGGTTACTTTATTTTATTTTAAATAATTTATTTATTTTTAACTCAGAGAGAGAGAGCGTGTGCAAAAGCAGGGGGAGTGGCAGGCAGAAGGAGAAGCAGGTTCCCTGTTGAGCAGGGAGCCAGATGTGGGACTTGGTCCCAGGACCCTAGGATCATGACCTGAGCCAAAGGCAGCCACTTAACCTGCTGAGCCACCCAGGCATCCTTAAAATTATGTTTTAATACAAGCGATATTAAGGAAGTAACTTTAAAAAATAACACCATTTACAACATCGAAAAACCCCCACCAGATACCTAAGAATAAATCTACACAAGATGTATAAGATCTTTACACAGAAAACTATAAAACATTATTGAGAGAAATTAAAGACCAAATAAATAGAGAGACCACTTACAGGGGTTAAAAGATTCAATATAGTAAGGATGTTCATTCTCCTCAACAAAGGAATTCCAATCAAAATTCTAGCATACATTTTTTTTAAAAGATTTTATTTATTTACTTATTTGACAGAGATCACAAGTAGGCAGAGACGCAGGCAGAGAGAGAGAGGGGGAAGCAGGCTCCCTGCTGAGCAGAGAGTCCAATGCGGGGCTCGATCTCACGATCCTGGGATCATGACCTGAGCCGAACGCAGAGGTTTTAACCCACTCAGCCACCCAGGTACCCCAATTCTAGCACACTTTTTTGGGCAGGGGGGCAGGGGTGATTTTAAGGTGATTGCAAAAGTTATACGGAAATGCACAGGGCCAAGAATAATCAAAGTAATCTTAAAAAGAACAAAGTGGGGGACTTACTCTACTAGATATTAAGACGTATTGTTATACAGCTATAATAAGCCAATTATATATCTTCATACATATACACACATAGAGTTATAATTCTTATAATATATTTTAATATATATTATTACATATATAAAGATAATAATTAAGTTAGACTGAAGACAGAAAAGCTTTGGTACAAATATGGACAAACATATCAATGAAACAGAATGAAGAACCTAGAAACAGACCCTTGTATACAAATACTTGGTTATTGATTAAGATGGCATTGTAAGCAATGCAATTAGAATGAATAAATAAATAAATGTGGTATATAATGATACTGAATAGCAATTAAGAAAAATAAACTACTGCTATGATAATAACATAGATGAATCCCAACACATAATGACGAGGGGGATAAAAGCCAGGCCCCTAAAAATGACATATGTGTCTCCATTTAAAATACTTCAAAGTTTATAAAATGGCAAAACAACTTCATGATGTTAGAAATCAGGATACTGTTTACTCTGGGGAGGAGGGAGGTGGTCGTGATTGGGAAGGAGATGAAAGAGGCTTCCAGGGTGCTGGAAATTTTCAGTCTTTATATGGGTATCAATTGTGAAGGTGTACTCATTTTTTCTTAAAAGGATTTTTATTTATTTATTTATTTATTTATTTGTCAGAGAGAGAGAGGGGGCAAGCACAAGCAGGGGGAGTAGCAGGCAGAGGGAGAAGCAGGCTCCCCGCTGAGCAAGGAGCCTGGCAAGGGACTCAATCCCAGGACACTGGGATCATGACCTGAGCTGAAGGCAGACACCGAACCAACGGAGCCACCCAGACGTCCCAGGTTGTATCATTTACAGAGCTATGATTTGTGTAATTTTTCTGTAAGTTATACTTCAAGAACAAAACTGAACAAATTAAGCCAGTAACTAATGCTAAAAATTTACTGCTAACACACACAAACACACACTCTTTAAATACCAGGATGTTTGTTTCAACACTGCAAAAGCAAAAAAGCTAGGAACTATTTGTGCCAATCCAAAGTAAAGAAGGTCTCCATGAGCCAAAGTTCGATAATTGCTGAACTTGAGAAAGTATGGTGAGAAACTACAGATGGTTACTGGGAAGACAGTCACTGAGTAGTCTCTCCGAGCAAAAATAAAGCTTCTGAATGATGAAACCTAAAGCCCACAGACCTAAGGGATTCTTCCTTGGTTATAAGATGACTGATCGACTTCTAAAAGCAGCACTCCCTCTGAAACTCAGAGAATGAATGTGTTTTTGCCTGTCTCTTTCTCTGCAGTTTCTGAAACCTGCTCCATTCTTTACTGTCCCATAGACGCCTACATTAAACAGAGATGTCGGACTTTTGGATGCAGGCACGTCTTCAGAGACGCATCACGGTGGAAGTTAAGGGGGTGCAGGATAACAACACCGCATCCACCAGGGCTGTTTCAAAAGCTACTAGCATCTCTCTCAGACCCTAGAATAATCCCAGGTCATGGGGGCGGCGGCGGGGGCAGCGGGGGGTCTGGTCTAGTTGCTCCCTGAAGAATCTGCATGTAAGAATCCTTTCTGTTCTACCCTATCACCACAGCCCCAAAATTGTTCCAGCTTCCTGCACAGTGCTCCTCGCACCCCCAGTTTACTGAGCTATAACTGACATACAACATCGTATTACTTTCCGATTAGCTTTCTTTTTTTTTTTTTTAAGATTTTATTTATTTATTTGACAGAGAGATCACAAGCAGGCAGAGAGAGAGGAGGAAGCAGGCTCCCCTAGAGAGCAGAGAGCCCGATGCGGGGCTCGATCCCAGGACCCTGAGATCATGACCTGAGCCGAAGGCAGCGGCCCAACCCACTGAGCCACCCAGGCGCCCCTCCGATTAGCTTTCTGATGTAGGAAGTATCTAAGCCCCTGGAGTGTGTTTCATGTTAATTCTGACTTCCACTGTGCCCGTCTGCAAGCGCACACTAGAACCAGTGCAGGGGCTCAAGCCAAGTGGACGTTTTTCTTGTTCCTCTTTGTGTTTTTCTTCCCCTACCAGATTCTCGGGTGTCTCTCCTTCTCCCTCTTTCAGGGGTCCCAGGCCCCACCTTCCAAGCCCCTGGGGCATACGCTGCTCAGGCTTAGTTAGGGTCCTGTGTCCCGGCTGCATCACTGAACAGAACAAGGCTCATTTGTACCTAGTCCCTCTTTCAGTTAGTGGGTTAGGCCCCCACGCAACTTTTCTTATATTCTTCATATCCTCGGACTCCAAAAACTGGCTCTCCTCTCCTTTAGCTAGGCTCTTCTACCAGAATTCAAGCAGAAGGTTTAGTGAAAGCCCAGGGGGTTACACAGCACTTCGCTGGCAGAGTGAGGCTTAGAAGGCCCTCCCCCAGCACTGTCATTAACAAATCTTACAGTTAAATCTTCCCTTTTCTCAGTTCACTAGCAAGGCACGACAGAAAAGATGAGTGGGAACATGAAATATTTAAGAGTCTTCCAGGAAGCTATAGTTCCAGAGAGATAAGGCTTATATGAAGGGGGGAACACCCCAAATTACATGTCACAAATTTCATAAAAACAAACCAAAAAGGGGTCAGGATAAGACATCAGATAAAAGGCTCTATCAAAAAATACGTGGAAAGCTGCCTCCCTTCATTATCCTTTAGGGAACAAATGCTTCAAAAGAGAGAAACTATGGCACATATAAGAACACTTTCTATTGACGAAGCAATTCCTAGTTAGCGTAGGAAACCCAGCACTACGTTGCCTGTAAAAACTGCAAAGTCAGGGATGGAATTTCCTTTGGTTAAATGAACAGTAATTTCGGACATGCTATTCTCTGGTACTAATGGACTGAGGACTGTGCTTGACAGCAATGAGCCAGGCACTCAGAATCCAAACATTCCTACAGATCCCTCTCACCTCAAGCCCTAAAGGCATGATGAGAGGTAAAAAGTAGGCTCCTGACATGGAGGGCGCACTGGGAAATAAAAGTAGTAAGAACGGCAGTTAACAGTACTGCCTCAGGTT